CTTCATGGAGTAGCTCTTGTAACCACAGGAGCTGTCATGCTGTAGACAAAAGGTTGAGTGGGTGACAGTACTGAGTTTACATCAGCAGCTAGGAGTTACTATTTACACTTCATTTCTCTTATGGTGTTTTATTCTATGAGTAAAAACATTCCTAATCCATCTGATACAATTAAATACAGAGAATTGTGGTGCGTGCGTGCGTGCGTGCGTGCGTGCGTGCGTGCGTGCGTGCGCCAAGTGGGACTTGATTAAGGAAAGATTTTAGTGCAGATTTCAGGAAGAGGATGCTCCTCAGTTATATAAAGGACACAGTATTTTATAGTAGTGCTAAGATGTCCCAGATATACCAAAGCTTTCAGACTTGCTCCTGAAATTGTTAGGTTTATGAGAATAAAATAATAACAGATAGAATGGCTTTCCGAACAAATGTATTTACTCAGGAATAAATGGGCTTCTTTATTCCAGGCCATACATGCTTTGGCAAATCACAAGCACACTCAAGGAGGCCAAAGACTAGACATTTTCAAGGTTATCTAAATTGTTTCAAGACTATTATCTTTGACCACAAGGATCACTAACCAGGGAAGCGTCAGCTGCTGTCTGTAACAGGCAGTAGCTGGACAGGTGGCTAAGCAAAAGGATCTTTTTTTTGTGTGTAAAGTTGATGTGCTCCTATGCAAGACTGTGGTTTTCAGTGAGTCTTTATAGTCTTTTCTTCAATCTTAGTCCTACATGAGTGAGGATTCCTCCATTTTGGCCTTGATGCTCTGTTAAGAGTCTGGTGTAAATGACTTAATTGTAGGAGAAACTTCTTTTTAAAAATTTTATCACAGGTAGTTAGCACTGACAAGGACTCCTATTCCCTGAAGTTGCTTCTTCCCCATTGTGGATTAGCTTGTCACTTCAGATTTTGAAGTCCGGCTCACAACAGCCCCACCATTTAGGGCTAATAGATTGAAGCCTTCTTGGCCCTTGGTGTACTTGCTAGACTGGTTTGGCTTCTAGTACACCCCTTTTTAAAAAATAATTGCTTTTCCATGTTACTCTTGCTTTGTTTGTGTGTTTCTTTTTGGGACAGCAAGATTTTTCTTTGTTTCTACCAAAACAAAGTCTGGTGATCTTCACAGGTTGAAACCAGCTAAATAGCTAACATTTGATCATTATGATTTGTGAAAGCAGTAATATCTAAAACTGTTGTCTTTAAAGCTTTCTTCAGTTGCTTTTCTTAGTTCCTGTTTGACTGACAAATATTAAAATGTTCGAACTAACTGCAGTAAAATAGAAGCATTTGGAAAGAGAAGGATGCAGGGTTATTGGTCTCATGCTTGCTTAGAGGTCTGGATTGGGCATCTGCACAGGGAGGGTAGGAGGTAGGTGTCTCTGGCCATCTACCGCTAGATGGACACTTGGGAATTAGTGTCCATCTAGGGGAGTGAGGGTGAAATCTCCTGTTTCTCTTCTCTTTTTTTTTTTTTCCCCAAGACAGGGTTTCTCTGTGTAGTTTTAGAGCCTATCCTGGCACTCGATCTGGAGACCAGGCTGGCCTTGAACTCAGAGATCCGCCTGTCTCTGCCTCCCAAGTGCTGGGATTAAAGGCATGCGCCACCAATGCCTGGCTTCCTTTTGACTTTTAATTTACACAGGTTTCAGGTTTAGCTGGTCTTGCCCTGAAGGTACCACTCTCTTTGTTTTATTTAGCATCAGATTTTTCTTTAAGCTTCTTGTATCCTTGAGCACAGGATTTGGCTCTACCATTATACTTCCCAGTACTCCTTCCCACCTCAAATTGTACATTTTGTATTTTCTTTGGCCTGTTTGCTCCTTTTCTTTGTGTATTTTCATAAAAGTGATCACTGATAGCCCCATGACACATTCAATACTAGGCTGCTTTGAAATCTCCTATGCCAAAGCCATTAATCTAAAACTCTCCAGTTTAGCCTCCACCAGATTTTTGGGACAAAGGCAAAAAAGCAGTCACATTCTTAGCCAAAACTGCACAAGAATGGTTTCTAATATTATTTTCTGAAACTGCTTGAGCTGGGCCTCATAGTCTTCATTGCTCTCAGCACTGCTGTCTAACCCATTAAGCCCTGCTTAAAGCATCCAGCTGCTTTCCCAGTCCAAAGCCCCCAAACTCCCATATTCCAACAAACTGCAGCATGGGCAGATCTGCTCCAGCAATACTCCAGAATGGTAGGGAGCATGGCAGCATGCAGTCAGGCATGGCATTGCAGACATCATACATCTGATCTGCAAGTCGCAGGCAGACAAAGAGTGAGATTGAGCCTGGTATGGACTTTTGAAACCTCAAAGCCCACCTCCAGTAACATACCTCCTTCTAGGCCTTCCTAAGCAGTTTTACTAACAGGATACCAAGCACTCAAACCTAGAGCCTATGGGGACATTCTCATTCAAATCACTACAGAGGCTCTCTATTGTCTTTTATGTTGAGGTTTTTAAAGTTTGAAGATCTATGATTACCCTTGATATTGTGTATAAAATTATATTTGGTTTCAGTGAAACAATCAGAAAGCTTGTTTAAATTACTACAATGGTATGTTGAAGAACACTTGCTCAAATTATGTATTGAAACACTGTGTAAATCAACTCTGAGTTTTCTCTATCTTTTGAATAGGTAGGTATTGTTAAAAATAATTTCTAAGCCAGGCATTGGTGGCGCACACCTTTAATCCCAGCACTCTGGAGGCAGAGGCAGGTGAATCTCTGTGAGTTCGAGGCCAGCCTGGTCTCCAGAGTGACTGCCAGGAAAGGCTCCAAAGCTACACAGAAAAACCCTGTCTCGAAAACAAAAACGAAACAACAACAACAAAAAACTTCTGTGAACACTGTTTGCCAGGAATAATCTTGTTCTACCTAAAGTTTATTTTTATTTTTTTGATTGTATTTGCAAAGTGTCATTGTTATGTAATTTTGTATTTGGGATATGAACTAAATCCCTCCATACCAATTCCTACAAGCAAGTCAAGTGTGGATGTGCAATGGGCAGTTTTTAAGCTTAAATATTTTGGCTGGATTTAATTACTTTAAAGGACAAGGCTATATGATGGGCCAGTGGTTTACCAAATTATTTTTTATTTTCTGGATCTAGATGTCACTGAAGGTTAATGCATCCTCTTTTCTTCACTAGAGACTTGAGTTAAAATCCATTTTAGGGCATGAGTATAAATGAATTTGTTGTTGTTTTCCCTCCTTGGGGACACTTTGGTCATTTTACGAGTGTGCCTTTCCATTTGGAATTACTGGCAGCTTGCACAAGGCCCAGGGGCTGTCATAGCAGGGGCAGTTGCAAGTCAGTGTGAAAATGAACGGGCAGGCTTCAGAGGGCAGAGCTGGCCCAGGGCTTGTCAATCTTCACTCCTTGATTCTTTCCTGCTTTAACTTAAGAGAACTTACTTGCTACTGACATTTGACTGTAGCACATCACAAAACAAGTGATGCACTTTATTACTGTTATTTTTTAAGTCATTTTGGGCTGGTTTGTATTTGACAGCCAGAGAGCTTTCTGTATTCATTGTCTGCAAATTCCCAGATGACTTCTTAGTCCATTTTATTAACTGTTTATTTGACATGAGCGGTGTAGTTTTTAGGGTCCTATTTTTTATCCATAATCAGGTTTAATGATGTCACCCAGCTGGAAATGGTGCTATTGCCATTAGCTATGTCTATTTGAAATATTGAGAAGCATAACCTAAGTTGGGAATAGCCATAGACCTTAGTTCCTCAGGTAGCTGGTGTGTTTTTCCTTTTCAGGCTTAGCTTGCAGTCACCATTGTTTTTTCTTCCTCATCTTCCTCTTTCCCGTTGTAGACTTCAAGTTCCCTTCTTCACCTCTCTCCCCCCTTCCTGAGTAATAATACTTAGAGTATGCCCTTCACCTTTTTCCCCTCAAAATGTAAATGAGCATCATCAAATAGAGAAATAAGTGAACTTACACACCAGAATGAGATCATACGACATGTGCTCCTTCCAGACTCGTAGTTATCCTGTCAGTTTTCAAAGTCAGCTACTTTTGATTCCCTCTTTCAGCTTGTCTGTTTATTGTTGGCATTCCTTGGTTTGATTCATTCAGTTCTTCTTGTCTTTAAAAATCTCTTAAACCATCTTAGAAGCATCTCCTTTGTACTTTATCTTCAGTTCTCCATTGCAGTCCCCTCTGTTTAATCAGATTGGATCAGGCTATCACCTGTAGTAAACGTGCTACAATGTATTTACTTCCCACCTGTAGTAAACATGCTACAATGCATTTACCTGCGTGTGCATGTGAATTTGAGAAACATGAGAGAGACACCTTGGTTCTTTATAGATACAAAGTGACCATAGCTCATGACCACCATGATAATAAGCTAATGAAATGTCCATGCAGTGTGCCTTAACCTAGTCTTAAAGAATAAGTTTTATTAAAAGGTGATTCAAACCAGTATGGTTGTTCAGTGCCAGGGAGCTCGAAGCAAGAGAATTGTGATTTTGAAGCCACCTAAAAACACTCCCCTCAAAAGAAGTTGATCTCAACAATCAACATTTGAGATTCTAGTGAAAATATGAATTGATATAGTTATTTTACATGTGTCCTTGGACAAGCAATGTGTATGGGATTAAATAGTACCCAGAGCTTACATGCCTTTTGTGTATTTTTTGTTGTTGCTGTTGTTTTGTTTTTTTCCAGACAGGGTTTCTCTGTATTGTTTTGGAGCCTGACCTGGAACTCACTCTGTAGACCAGGCTGGTCTCAAACTCACAGAGATCTGCCTGCCTCTGCCTCCTGAGTGCTGGATTAAAGGCGTGCATCATCAACGCCCCCCTTATTTTTCTCTTTTGTTCTATTTATCTTAGTAAAACCTTAAGGGCCATAGTAGGTTAATCCATATGATACTTCAGAGTCTGATATTGCACATCCAGTTCTCAGTAACTCCCATTTTTTCTTACTTATAGTACGGCAAGACTCTTCAGCTGTACTTACTTGGTTTCCTTTCCCCTTTCAGGTATCAGCAGTAGAGTCTTTGGAGGGCCCACTGCTCCAGGTGGAAGGACTCAGTGACCTCAGGCTGGAACTTCACAGCAAGAAGATGAACCTGCACTTGGTCCTCATAGAGGAATTGCACCGACACCTGTACATCAAATCCACTAGCCGAGTTGTGCAGCGTAACAAAGAAAAAGGGAAGATGAGGTTGGTTAAGGAGCCCCTCTACTTTAGTGTCTTGTATTAGTGACATTTTTTGAAGAAACATTCTTTGTATTCCAGATAATTATGATTTATTTTCCTATCCTGTATTGTACTATCTCTGAACTTGTAGATGGTTTTATAATAGCAAATATGTTATATTCAGAGTGGCTAACATCAAAGTTTGTTCATTCATTCATGTGTGTTTGTTCTGGTCCTCTTCTGTAAGGGTGTGTAAGAAGTATCTCCTGTGGATCTGTGACATATGGATCAGAGACACTCTTGTGATCTCAGAAGGAAGTGGAAAAAAACTTCTTAAATTGAACAGTGAGATCAGCAATGATAAAAAATACAGAGATATAGGAACTGAAGTGTCAAGATTTACTAGGGTCATCTCAACTTTAACAAATTCATTCTGAATAGCTCAAGGAAGGTTTAAAGAGAAATTTTTTGATTCCTTGACTGTTTTTTAGCACAACCCTGTGTGTATCAGTCTAGGTAGTTGCAAGAAAGCCATTAAGTTAGTATAGACCTGGTGTAGCATAAGGCTAGATCTTAAGATAGTAGATCATTAGAGTTATATGGTAGCTACATGTAATGGTGTTCTTCTGGCATTCCTAGAAGGAAATGTAAGATCTTTTCAGAAGGTCTTTCATGTACTACCTGCTGAAATACATACAGTTATGCTTTTTTCATCCAGCTGTATACCAGGAGAGCATGCTGGGAATGAAGTCTTTAAAGTCCTGTGCTGTTTGAACAACAACAACAAAGACATTATTTTGTGTGATGATTCAGTATAGCCAGAGACTCAGACTTGAAAGAGAAATTTTACTTCTCTTTAGTAGATGGGTACTAGACAAACTACTAAGCCCATAAATTGAACTAGTGAGTATGTACTCCAGAATTACTTCAAGGCTCGATATGAATAGGTGGCTGTCAGTTACCTTTTTAGCAGTGAATTGTGCTGGGATCAGTGTGAGCAAGAGAGCTTCTTTCCAGTGTGTGGTGCTGGATAAATAATAAAACAGAATCATTATGAATCTTGTGTAAACTGAATGAGCACTGCTTTGCTTTGCTATTTCAGGGAAAGGGTATTTATTTAAATAAAGCAAGAAAAAAATTGGAGAATTCAGGTTGAGATTTCTCAATAGATATGTGAAATATGCACACTTATTTAGATATTGTGTGGTTGATTTTGATTGTCAACTTGATTAGATTAACAAATGAGTAGAGTGTTATTGGGATATACCTTTGAGTTTATCTGTGATATCATTTCCCGAGAAGTTGGATGTATTAGGAAAATTCATCCTGGTGGCATCCTATGGTCTGAGATTGAGATTTGAATAAAAGCGGAGATGGAGAAAGATAGCTGAGTATATGTTAAACTGAGATATGAAGAGTCCTAGCCACATGCTTCTCTACTATAGAGCCATCTGCTACCATGGTTCCCTACCTTGCCACATGTATCCCCCTATTTTGAAGGACTGTATCTTTATAAGACATGAGCATCAAGAAACTCCTTTTCCTTTAGTTTGCTGGCTTTTTTTTTTTTTTTTTTTGGTCATGTTTTTGGACCGGTAATGAATGTTCAGAATAACCCCTCCACCCCCACTCTTTTAAGTGGGATGAATGCATATAGTACTCTTGATTTGGGTCTTTGCTTTTGTGAGTCATTAAATGACACTGTCAGAGTCTTGAAACATATTTGTGTTGAGTATGTTCACTCTTTTCTCTGGCTCAGAGTCACCAAAATATTTGCTTATCAGTGAACATTCCTGAGCTTTATGGTTGTATGTAGCAAGCATGCAACAATCTATGTGAAACAGTGTGCTGCATGAACAGAATAGACCCTAAACAGGACAAAAACATGAAGTGATAGGAAACAAAAAAGTAAACAAGGAAATTCAAGTCTTGATCTCAAATATTAGCAAGAGAGCCTGGGCATGGTGGTGCACACCTTTAATTCCAGCACTTGGGAGGCAGAGGCAGGTAGATCTCTGTACTTAGCTTTTTTTGTACTCTTTGTGGGCCTGCCACTGAGCTCCCAAATAAATACATGGAGACTTATTCTTACTTATGAATGCCTGGCCTTAGCTTGGCTTGTTTCTAGCCAGCTTTTCTAACTTAAATTACCCTGCTTCTCTTTACATTTGCCTCTGGTGTTTTTCTTTATTCTAGGTCTTTCCTTCTTACTCTGTGGCTGGGTGGGAGGCTGGTACAAAGAGTCCTCCTCCTTTTCTCGATCTTCCATCTTCTCCAGATTTCTCTTCCTATTTATTCTCTCTGCCTGGCAGTCCCACCTATCTTTTCTCTTGCCTAGCTATTGGCTGTTCATGCCTTTATTAGACTAATTAGGTGTTTTAGGTAGGCAAAGTAACACAGCTTCCCAGAGTTAAACAAATGAAACATAAAAGAATGCAACAAATCTTTGCATCATTAAACAAATACTTCATAACATAAATAGATGTAACACATCTTAAAGTAATATTCCATAGGAGCTCTCTGAGTTTGAGGCCAGCCTGGCCTATAGAGTGAATTCCATGACAGCCAGAGCTTCATAGAGAAACTCTGTCTTGAAAAAACAAACAAAAAACCCCCAAAACACCTCCCCTAAAACAACTAAAAAACCAAAACCAACCAACCAAACATAACATTAGCAAGAGGAATTGAATGATTGTGTGTGTGTGTGTGTCATAAGGTCAGAGGACAGCTCAAAGAAGTGGGTTCTCTGTTTTCACATGTGGGTCCCAGGGATTTAACTCAGCACTTCCAGCTTGGCAACAAGTGCCTATATCTGCTGAGCCCTCTTGCTCCCCACATTTCATTGTTTACTCCACTGTTTGCGCACTTTGTTATGACAGTCTAAACCAATGAATAATCAGGGTTCAGAAGTTACAAGTAGAATGCACATAAAGAAAGTCCTGCTTTTTCTTAAATTATGTTTTAAAGTTAGCTTTTAAAATGAATTTTCATATATCCTTCATTTTGGCTAACTTTCCCTCCCACTCTTTTATCTTCTTCGTCCCCTACTTCTATTTCCACTTAAACATTTCCATTGTAGTATTCCCATCCCTACTTTGATATCACATATGAAGAACTGAGATTTTGTATGTGCTGTAGACTGGTTGACTACATAGTGAATTTTACACCAGCTGAACATTTGCTATAAGAGGACCCAAGTTCAAATCCCCAGCATCCATATAAAATAGGCTTAGCTGTGTATGTCTGTAACCCCAGCATTTGGGACAGAGATAGACAGATATCAGGAACTTTCTGACTAGTCAACCAAAGCAGTAATATTTATGTTCAGTGCGAGATCCTATTTCACAATATAGGAGGTATAGAAGCAATTAAGGAAGACATTGGATATCAACCTCTGGTCTCCACATGTGTGTACACATCACTGCATACATGGGTATGTATATTCTACATATACATAGTAAAATGAAATGAATTCAACAAAGATCTCTCGGTTGGGGGAGAGAAGGAGGAGGAGGAGAGGAGGGGAGGGGAGAGGAGGAGAAGGGAGGAGAGAGAGAGAGAGAGAGAGAGAGAGAGAGAGAGAGATAGTAAAAGCCGTGTTTGGAAGAAATAAACAAATGGGAATATTGCTATCCTCTCAGCACATAGTTGTCTGTTACATTTATACCCAGTTGATGTGTTTGAAACTCACATCTGAAGTCTACTTAGGAGAATAAGTCTGTAAGAGTTGCCCCAAATCAAAATCTAGAAAGGAAGGTCTGCAAAGGCTTTCCTTATGTGACATTGAAGTGTATTATAATGCCTCCCAAAGCACAACAGTACAGAATGATTGTAGAGACATTGCTGGGACAAAGTACCAGTACTTATCTATTTTTGGCTTTAATTCAGGTCAGTACAGGATGGGACAGGAAACGTATTTAGAATACTTGGGTTGAGGAAATTTAGCTGTTGATTTGGAGAAAATTTAGATACCTGTCTTTTACATACAAAAAATTCTAGCCAGATAGAAAAATCGCATGATAAAATTTGATAGGCATTACCATATGAGAAGGCTTTTTCTAAGTAGTCAGACAGTTCACATAAATAACAATGTTAATTAATTTCCCTGTTTCAAAACTGAAAATACATTTTCAGTACAATGGAGCCAAAGTGAAAACATAGACTGAAAAAATATTTATTAAGATTTACTGTGTAAAGTATGGAAATACTCCTCAGAGTAATAAAAGGGAAATGATGTAATTCATAGATTTAAATCTAAATAGATAGAGACATATAATTAGAGAAACACACACTTGAGAATCAAGTGTGGCCTTTGAGCATCAGCTAGCCAAAACCATTCATAGTATGCTGTCTTGGTAAGGGTAGCGGAAATGAATGGATTCCTCTCTTTGGTTGAATAATCAATGTGCACTTTTGGAAAATAATGTTTTATTCTTTCTTTAACCATGGGATTCCATTTCTAGGTTCAGATCCTATTTAAAATATTACCAGTTTATGAAAATATATGTAGTAGGATATTCTTTGTGACATTATTGTTAAGAACACCAGGAAAACCCACATAACAAAGCTTGGTGCAGTGGAGCATGCCTGAAATTCCAGCATTTGGGACGGGGAGGCGATAGGGCTATGTGGACTGACTCTGTCCCAAGAATGAAATGACATATCCCCTGCTCCATAAAAATGGGGAACCCTCAAACCAGCTTCCTTGCCCCCCACAAAAATCCATATACTTTTAATGCTCATCACAAAGAACATTGTTGAATGGATTATATATTTGTTTCATATAGCACAGCAGCTTAAAATGCCTGAGAAAGATCTCTATATGTTCGATTGGTAGGACTTCTGGGAGGTACTATCGAACCCTTAAATCAGATTGAAAACAGCATTGCGATATGAGCATACATGTCTTTAGCATACTGGCATAAATATTTGTAGTTATATAGAAAGCTCCGAGAAGGGTTATGCTCAACATTCATTACTGTGGAGGTAGAAGTGGGGTGTGAAGAACATTTTAATGGGTTATTTTCTTCATATTTCCATGTAGAACTTCTGACTTTCTCACCACATGAGATCATTGCAAAATTATTGAAAAGTTAGTTCATCCTTTGATACATTGTGTATATCCCTGGTCAGTACTTACTTTGACCTTATTTATTTATTTATTTATTTATTTATTTATTTATTTATTTACCTATCTTTTGAAGCAGGGTTTCTTTTTGTAGTTCTGACTGTCCTGCAACTCATTTTATAGACCAGGCTGGCATTGAACTCACAGAGATTTGCCTGCCTCTGCCTCCTGAGTGCTGGAGGCGTACACCACCAACGGCAGGCTTTGATTTAAGATTTTTTACTCAGGGTATGTTATCTTTGAAGGCTATTTTGCAGCTTCATCTGATTTAACCAACTTTTATGAAGATTTGCTCTATGACAGACACTATACCAACCATGTGGTTATAGCAGTGAATGTATTAATTATTAGATTCATAGTATAATGTTTTACTCATTTTTATCACTCTTTGACAATAAAATCCACCAAATGAGCTGGACTGTAAATTTTGTTAATAGTTGAACCTGTATATACTAATCCAAGGATTAGTGATTACTAATCCATGGAACAGAAATATGTTGTAATTAAAGACAAATATTTTATAATCTGGAGGATTTCTAGCTGTTGTTTTAGGAAAAATGAAAGGACAGTTTTCATGCATTTAAAAATCAAACATATATTGAAGAAGATCTTAGCAAGTTGGCTGGTTAATTATGGCCAGAAAGTCCTTAGATAAATTATAGTGGATGGCAGTGGGATTTGGGTAAGCTACGGTGGTGGTGGGATTTGGGATTTGGGTTAACTACGGTGGCGGTGGGATTTGGGATTTCGGTAAGCTATGGTGGCGGTGGGATTTGGGATTTGGGGAAGCTATGGTGGCGGTGGGATTTGGGGAAGCTATGGTGGCGGTGGGATTTGGGGAAGCTACGGTGGCGGTGGGATTTGGGTAAGCTACGGTGACGGTGGGATTTGGTTGTGGTGTAGCAAAGGTTGCTGCCTAGCTTCCTCATCTTGCACCATGTTGTTTATTATGTAACCAAACCTGCATTGCTCACAATACACATTGATGTGTTATCAGTTGATGTATTGTGGATGATTCTGAATGGATTAAAAATAAAAGTTGTCATGTGTATTTTAAAAATAACTCCATATTTCTTTCAAAATATAACACTTCAGAGCATTCTTGTTCATTTGAAATTTCAAGAGAACAGTCTTTTACTTGTTTTATAAAGTAACTCTGAGTGAGTGGGACCTTTGAGGGAATTAATTAATACCTTTTCAATTTTGTCGCTGATGCATGATGAGAGGAGTCCTTTTCTCTCTTTTGAAATGAAAACTAAGGTCCATTTAATGTCATGTGCTGTAATAGCACCTTCCTCTCTGCTAAGCTTCAATTATGTAGTCAGTAAATGAGTAAGTAGGTCTGGAGATTTTCTCTGGATTTCCTGAAACCAAGTTTTTCAATACATATCCAAGAGAATGGCTGGAGAGATGGCTCAGAGATTAGGGGCACTGACTGCTGCTCTTCCAGAGGACTCCAAGATCTGACACCCTCACACAACATACATGCCAGCAAAACACCAATGCAGATAAAATAAAAATAAATTATTTACAAAAAAAGGAAAAGAAATCCAAGGGAACCTGGGCATAGTGGCATACTGCCTCAAAAAACAAAACAAAACAAAACAAAACAAAAAACCAAAAAATATAGAAATCCTTTCCAGAGTTCCTTCCTCTTGAATTAGTGCTCACAGAGGAGAAAATTAAGGCCTAAGGGAAGAGGCGTGTGTGTGTGTGTGTGTGTGTGTGTGTGTGTGTGTGTGTGTGTGTGTGTGTGTGTGTTGTGTGTGTGTGTGGTTCTCATAGTTTGTTAGGTTTATACTGAGAAAGTAATTATAATTATGTTCTAAAGTGAATCCCATGTCAGCTGTGTTGATAGATGTATGCACAGTTACACTCTTAAGTGTGTACATATCAGCATTCATGAACATGCACTGCTGTTGAAATCTCAGTGTGTACATACCAGCATCCACACACAGGAACTACTGTACTATTTATTTTTAGAAATGACAGGCAGTATTCCAGCTATACATAAGCCTCTATTTTCCTGCTCATTGATATTTTTATTTATCCTGCTATACAAATAACTCCTCCAGATCTTTAAATATTTATAACGTATGTATATAATTTTCCTGTCATTTCAAGTTGAAATTAACTTTTTCAAAATTGCTCGGTAGCTCTATATACTTCTCGGTGATTTTCCTGTTTCTGTGGCCTATGGATCTGGGGACTAGGGGGTATGCAGACCTAATTTTCTAGTTGGGAATAAAATGCAGGTAGACAGGTTAGTTAAGAGTAAAAAATTGAGAAATCAAAGAGATGTGGTTATACATGTCTGTACCTCATTGCTTTAGAGGCTAAGGTATAGTAGGACCTTGTTTAAAAAAATCAAAACAATGAAAAGCAGATCATTGGATATACAGTCTGCTGGATTTACTTAGGATGATTTAGGTAATTAGAAACTTGATGACTTATATTCATAGACAAGAATTAATTTGAAGTAACTATGCCAGTTCATTTCCTATTACCTATATACCTGAATTGAGTTGCACATTAGCTGGGAGTGATGGTGTCTATTAGACTGTGTGATGTTTGGTTTACCTGAGTCGCACTTTTATCATCAGCACTTAGCACAGGGCCAACCACTGACTTATTACAAAAACTATCCAGGTAATGGTCCCCTTGGTTAGTGAAAAGGGAGAAGAGAAGTTAATGATTCAGTAATATCTTCAAGTCTTAGGATAATGGATCACATGTCATTATCATGGAATAAAACTGGTATTAATATAAGTGATAATTGATAATTTTGCTCTTTGATTATTTTACCCTTTAATAAAGCTTTTTTCAAAGGTTTCTGAAATATTGTTGTCTTTTTCTTATTTAAAAATGTAGGAGCTCAGAGACAAGATTATTATATAGTAGGGGGTGTGATCCCCAATATTGTAAAAAGGGACCAAAAGGAGACGGGGAATACATGTGACATTTCAACCTAGTGCTTCGATTCCAGAGGGATCATGGGAAGAGAGTGGGGAAATAGTTCATCCAGGTCAGTGATTTTCAACCTGGCTGTTGGAACTCTGGCAGCAGGGGTGGGGAGTGTCAAATGACCCTTCCACAGGGGTCACATATCAGATGGCCTGCATAGCAGATATTTACATTATGATGATTCATAACAGCTATTAAAAAGTAGCAATGAAAATAATTTTATGATTGGGGTCACAGCATTAGGAAGGTTGAGAACCACTGATGTAGATGTTATTCCCAGTTGGATTCTCCTTCCTGTCTGAAGTCTTTCTAGTAGGCTTGGTACCTGTTCTCCCTTTCAAGAATCAGTTTGTGAGTGATCATCGTCATCATCATTTGCTGTTGCTGCTGCTGCTGCTGTGCTTTGGGCTGGACAAAAGTGAGAACTGCAGACTCTACCCTGGGTTGGACTTAAAGAAATTTCTGTGGCTAGAGGATTGTGTTTCCTATGGCTAGGGCCCAAACTGCACTTGCCGTGACATTGCCCAAATACTTATAAATTTAGAAGTTACCTTGAAAACGTAGTTGTCATTTATAGTCTTTTTTTTTCTAATTTATTTTATGAGCATTGGAGTTTGCTTGTATGCATGTCTGTGTAAGGGTTTTGGATCCCCTGGAATTGGAGTTATAGACAGTTATAGGCTGCCACGTGGGTGTTGGGAATTGAACTTGGGTCCTCTGGAAGGGCAGCTAGTGCTCTTAACCACCAAGCCATCTCTCCAGCCCTCCCCATTATTTATAATGTTTATGTCATCTGTAATCAATTTATTACTTTACTTACTTTAAATTATATGATGAGGGCCTAGGCTTTATTGATGCAATACTGTTAAGTCTGTTTAAAAAATTATTTGTCAGCCTTTATAATGATTCTCAACTTGTCAAAAGTTATGAGTCTGTATTAAAGAAAACAAAAAGTAGTAAAGTCCTGAAAAATAAGTAAAAAATGAACTTGACAAATACAAGTTTAAGTGAGCATTTAGTACTTATCATGCCATGGTGTTACTTGAATTTATTTACTTGTAAGTGATTTTCACTACAGGTACAAAGGAAATCAGTATAGTTGCTTGGTATCATTTAATTATAAGACAGTCATTTGTGGTAAACACTTGGAACTCTTAGAGGACATCTTTAAACCTCCAGCTGTGGCAACTGCTGCATTGACAATGTACATGTGAGGTGTTTGAGGTCACAATGTAGAGAGTTGGGCACTAAATGGGATATAATCTATCTTGCTTCTGTTGATATTAGTTGATTTTGGAGAAAATGGTAACTTCTGCTTACTTTCCCCACAGTTCTCATGGCAAAGATGCCTCTCCCGGTCCTCTGATTGATGTTACTAACATCCCTACTCCACGAAAATTCCTTGATGCCAGTCAGTATTCTGCTGCCGGCAACTCAAGTGGTAAGTTATTTTTCTTATGTGCTACATACAGTCTTAGTGTACTAGAAAGCCTAGGCCAGGACCTGTGGGAGCCTGTGATGTGCTCTTTGGGACCCTTGCAGGAAATAGATATAAAACCATTGGCTGGACCTGTTGTATTACAGATGCTCAAAAAACTGGCAGCTAACTGCCCTGCCTACAGATTCCAGCTGTGAATGCATTTTATTTCAGTGGTACTTTTCAGTTTTCTAAACTTGCATTTGAATGCTCTTTGTTAAGATGTGTGGTTTTCTTTTTGGTTATAATCTATATTGCTTCTGTTGGTGTCAGATGGCAGAAAAATAGAAATGAGACCAAGCCATATATTATGATCAAGACAGAAAAGCTTCCTTTATTGGAACTTGAGTCTAAGCTGATCAACAGGAGCCAAAGAGGTGATCAGAGGTGACCAGGCCTGTTGTTTGAACAAAAGAAGCTTTTGTTGGTTTTTCAACGATAGGCTAAAGTTTGGTAATTGTCTGTGAGCACAGTTTCAAAGATGTTTCCTTTCTTGTACACAAGCATTCTGGCCTTGAGGTTTGCAGGCTGACAGACAGTTATTTACACCACTGCTCAGCCCTCCTCCTGTTGCTGACATCTTCTTTTTGTTTTTGTTGTGTCTTTTTCTATGTAGTCCAAGCTGGACTCAAACTTAAAATCCTTCTGTATGTACTACTATGCCTGTTGATGGTGCCATCTTGCACAAACATCAGGCTTTATGGCAAGGCTGAAGAATGTCAAGTGCATCAGCTGACTAGATAGCACAAAGTCAGGGTTAAACACACACTAGCTTCAAGGACTTATAGGCCAAATAGTGTGTAGTGTAGTCTAGGGCAAGACAGCATCAAATATTCCCTCACATACAGAGTTGAGCAGAATGTGTCTCAAAGATTGAGGTAGCAAAAGGGCAAGCACAATATGGAGATGCAGATGTCAGACTGTAGGCTACAGTCAGTCATTGTAGCTTTCACCTTTCTGCAAAGTAACCTCTAACCCACATGCTAGAAGTGATAGCAATTAGAGGGTTTAATCTCTTTGCTCATAGCCTCTCCCAATCATTGCTGTTTGTGTCCATTTGAATCCCTCTAGTTTTAGCTTGGCTGCTATGTCCTTAAGGGGTTCCTTTTGCTTATTTGTGACCTGATCTGGTGTTTTGTGGCAAAAATGTTGTATGTATGCTTTTAATACATACAACATTTGTCTCCTGAGGTAGCTCCTGTCTTCCTCCCTATGGGCCTTTACTCCATTGTTTGATGTGTTACATTTCATCCCTTTTCCAAAAGCACTTCTGACTGTAGGACTCCCTGCTTTGTGACATGGCTCCTTCCATATCTTCTACTGGCCTCACTATTTCCAAACACACTTGTGCCTGTGTTCATTTGCTTAGCACATTTTGAAGAAATATCTCCACAAAGTAATTTATTTATTTATTTTTTAATAAGTTGAAGGAGTACCATTTCGTTGTATGTTTAGGGTTGGCTGTGAGAAGACTTACTTTGATTCTGAATATAAAGTTTTAGGGAATTCTTTTGGAGTGGCTCAAATGACTTTTTTTGCAGATTTCAGCTGGGTCACAGCCTTGGGGGTCACTTCACAGGGTTTCTGTGCCTTCGTACCTTTGGGCTGGGCAGAAGAGAAGCGGATGCTTTCTGTGGGATTTGCAGGTACTTTTAGGTGGCAGCCAAAGCCCTCAGTCTTTAATTTAAAAGATAGTGATGCTTGTTGTTACCTTTGGATAAATATTAGTTTATTATTATTGAGGGTTAAGCCTTGGACATGCCACATGCCAGAGAAGTACTACATTGCTATCCCCCCAACTCTCTTTTTACTTCTTATTTCTGAGACAAGGGCTTGCTAAGTTTGGTAGACAATACTTGAACTCACTCTGCATCCCATGGTGATTGCTTTTCTGAACCTCTTGCCTGATATAGTCCCATAGTGACTTCTGTTATTATTAGAAAACTCTAGAAGAACCTCATGCTATCTTAAGTAGAGCCAAGACCATTGTGGAACCACATTTACAGATTTGTACACGTCTTTCTCTTTAGAAGGATTTATTTCATGGGCTGTTTTGGGTACTATTTATTTTTATGATTTTCCTTGGTGTGAATGAAAAAGAAGGTAAAGTTATAATATTGATTCATGTTATTAACAGCCTAAGTTAAGAAGTGTTTATTGCCTGCTAGGTGGGAAGTAATGTTTGAAGTGCTTTACTTGAATTAAGTGAGATGGGTATTATTAGTAGCTTCATTTACATGCTGGAAAACTGAGGCACAGCAAGGTTAATAATTGGCTTTAATCTACCCAGCTGGTTAAGAAGCAGCTGGATTTCGATGCTGGAGCTGAGTTCTAGAATGTATTTTTAAAATTAGTTTGCTGTTATTGCAAATAAACAAGCTGTGCATTGTGTGTTCGTTTTCTGTTCACAAACATTGCTTATCCAAAAGGTATATTAATTATCTTAAAGTTTTGTAGCTTAGAAACCTACCACGAGGAGCTAATGACATGGGTCAGCAGGTAAAGTGCCTACTGTATTAGCATGAAGATCTGAGTTTGGATCCTGAACATCCATGTAAAAGCTGGGTACAGCAGCCTGTGTCTGTATCTCTAGAGTGGGAGGAAGTGGTGTGGAGACACTTAGATGCCAGAGCCCACTGGCTAGCAAGTCTACCCAAAAATAGCAAGCTGCAGGTTTAGTGATAAACTCTGCCGTAAAAAAGTTAGGTGGCAAACCATAGAAGACAACATCTGATGTTCTGATGTTGACCTCTACCCTCCATGTGCACAAGCATGTGTGTATGTGAATGCCTGCACACACACCCCCCCCCCACACCACACCACATCACACCACACCACACCACACCCTATCATGAAGCTGGTTATAATGGTAAATCCTAGCACTCAGGAGGTAGAAACAGGAGGATCAGGAGTTCAAGGTCATTGGACCCAAATCAAAGTATTTACTGGACCATGTTTCTTATTGAAGGTTCTGGGAACTCTTTTTTCCCTGCTTTTATCAGGTTCTGGAGGCTGCCACCTTACATGGACTCTTTCTCCTGGCTCAAAAGCAACAATGTTGATAGATGACAGTAGTTCCTCACAGGACTTCTCTGACCCATATTCCTGCCCTCTTCCTCCCCTTTCAAGGACTCTGTGATAGAACTGAGCCCACCTGGGTTCTTCAGGCTAATCTCAGTATCTCACAGTCTTTAACTTTAGTGATATCTGTCTTAGAGTCTCCTGTGCCATGTAAGGTGACCTACTCACAGGCCTTGTGGCTTAGTCATGGATATTTTGGGGATCTGCTATTCTACTTACCATACTCTGCAGAGCTGCTTTTCTGTCCTAAGTTATCTTTAGAAGCCAATGTGTGAAAAATTTGACTTTTTTTGGAATTATGTGGTGAAATCTTTTGAAGTCATTGCCATTCTAGACCTTAGGACTCTATTAATCTGAATCACATTATTAAAAGAGACTGTACAAGCGAAGACGATACACATTATGGAGTATCATGTTACTAAGTATATATAAAAGCTTGGGGCTGGTAAAAAGTACCATAATAAAGGATAGAAATTTTGTCTAATTCTTGGTTCTGAACAGCAAGTCTTTAGCATCTATTTGTGGAGTATTCTGCAAGTCAGCTGAGCAAGTAATAGAAATTTTCAGCAGGGAATTTAACATAGGCTCTTAAAGCTCCCTTCTCATCTTGTGAAACAGTAGGATTGAGGGTGTAATCCATTAGAATTGACACTTTTATAGAGGAAGTTCCAGTAGGGAATCCCCAGGCGGAACGGATTTCCCACTGGGGTGCCATAAATTAAGGTTGGAGGTGATTCCAGAGAATGTTCAGGTTATTATTAATTAAATGAGAATTCTGATTGCTTGTGAATGAGTCATTTTGCAGATACCTTATTTTAGAGGTGCAGTTATGACTTTTCTCTGAGAAGTTTTCTATCATAGTTTCTAAGTGATGCTTTGCAAGCTGCATTTTGTTGTTGTTCAGTGGGTGAAACAGTGCTGAGAGGTCATTTTAGGGCAGCCGCTATTGTTATTACTATAATGATTGTCATCTTTATATTCATTATACTTAAGCATATTTAAGAAAAATTATTTGGAATTACATGTGTGTATTTATTATCTAACTAGATGAAGTACTTATAAATTGCAAAATTGAGGCACTTGGTAGAAGCTAGTAATGTTAAAAGACAAATAATTGGAATTTGCATTGCTTTTCTACTAAATATTACTCAGATTATAAATGGCATAATAAAGAACAGGGTAGATTATGAAGAACTGAAAGAAAGAAGAGTTTATACCTAAAAGATTGCTATTTATCTGTTAATCAATAAAACAAGCTAGTAGAATAAAGGGAAAATATGAGCATGCTTTTTTTCTCAAGGGAAATCTCATGGTGGTAATATATAGAAAATATTAGTTAATCAGCTATTATTTCAAAGATGGTTTTACGGATACAGAAAGTGATTCCATTGACATCTAATGTTTGGTCCTGGTACATCCAGATTCCATGGCTGGAACTTGGCCTCATTCTGGTTCCAGTCTTGTGTAGGGGATACATTTTGCAAGCCTCTGTCTGTCATAACAGTATTTTGTAATGTATGGAAAAACTAATGTCTCATTTAGATTTAGTAATTCATGTAAAGAATTAGAAAGATTGGGAGAAAAGCCATCATTTGTAGTAAAAATGTTGGTTTAATCTTTTGAAATCCCAGTGTGTCCTTCCATTTGGCAAAGAGCCTTTGGAGCATTTTTGACTGAGCAAGCGCTTCCAGGTATTTTATTTGTGGCTTCTTGATTTGATTTGTTCAAGTCTTGGTGGGCTACTACTAAGATCATAACTGTAGTAAAAGTGGACTTTTTACTACTTTCTTTTTTGACATCGGTCAAAGTAACAAAACTTAAAAAAGCACACAGATTAAATGTCTTTTCTCATTGCTGCTGTTTTTTTTAATGTGCATTTTATT